GGGCCGGCGAGGGGCGTCAACCCCCTGCCCGCGTGTCGGCTGCTGCCTCCCTTCACCGCGCAGGTGCAGAGACAGCGTCTGCTGTGGGCCAGGGGTGGGCGAGTGCGGCCTTGTAGGTGTGACCTGGCCCCCTGCCACGATGGGGGGGTGGGGCAGCATGGCCCTATATGGGATGTCCTGGCGCCCCGCACACAACGGAGGGGTGGGGCAGCATGGCCTTTGTGTTGGGTTGACCTTGGTTGGTGCCCACCCAGCCACTCTATCCCTCCCCTCCTCAGCAGGACAGGGGGGAAGAAAAGAAGATGGAAAAGAGCTCGTGGGTCGAGATAAAGGCAGTTTAATAAAGAAAAGCAAAGGCCGCATGCGGAAGCAACGGAGACAAAAATAAAAAAGATTTCTTCTCTACTTCCCATCAGCAGGCAATGTCCTGCCACTGCCTGGGAAGTAGGGCCTCAGTACGCGCAGCGGTTGCTCCGGAAGACAAACGCCTCAATGACGAATGCCCCCTCCCCTCCTCCTTTCTCTTAGCTTTTATTGCTGAGCACAACGTCCCATGGTATGGCAATTCTCTTTGGTCAGCTTGGGTCAGCTGTCCTGGCTGTGTCCCCTCCGCACCTCTTGCCCACCCCCAGCCTACTGGCCTTTTGGGGGCGGGGGAGGGATGTCGGAGAGACAGCCTTGACGCTGTGGGAGCAGTGCTCAGCAGTAGCCAAGACGCTGGTGTGTTCTCAACACCTTCCAAGCTACAAATACAAAGCACAGCAGCATGAGGGCTGCTGTGAGGAAAGTTAACTCCATCCCAGCCAGACCCAAGACCGTCTCCACCCTTTATTCCCGACCACTTGCATCATGCTCAGGTCCCACGTAATTTCATACATTTCTACATCTTCTAACCATCCCTCTGTATCTAATTCTCATTACTGAAATCCCTTCTTACCAACACAAGTTACTTAAATCATCTTCATACCCAAAGTAACAGATCTACACATTCTCGTTAACTCCTATCTACCCCCGTCCCTTAACAGATAGATATTAGTCTCCTGTTCCATGGGCTTCCGCCACTCCTCCAAGCGTTCCTAAGAAGAGGCTATGACTTGGGGCCCACCTGTCAAGACGGGTGCTGAGGACAGGAGAAGCAGGTGATTTTCCCAAGGGAGGAGCAATCCACACCGCCTTCCCCAGCCACTTCCCTATGTGTACTATGGGGACCTTATCTCCTCCCACAGTACGCAGGAGTTTTATTTGGGCAGGACCAGGACACGTAGCCGATCCTCTGGGGTTGACCAGCCAAGTGACTTTCGCTTCTGCAACCTGACTTGACTCACCTCCTTCAGTAGCTTCAACGACTTGTCGTGTGGGACTCCGCACAGCAGCCTTCCGCTTCCGATGGTTTCCTACAGCACGACAGGATCCATCAGTAAACGGAGCATAACGCCTTTCACCTTCTGATAACTCATTCTATGGTGGTGCCTCTTGGGCACGAGCCACCTCCTCAGGCAATGCTCCAAAATCTCTGCCTTCTGGCCAGTCCATGGTCTCTTCCAGGATTCCTGGCAGGTTTCCCCAGCCGAGCCCGTTGCGCGATCAACGCTGCCCACTTACTCCATGTAGCGCTGGTTGTATGATGTGCAGGGGGCACGTTTCCTTTGAACCTCCAGTGTAGCACGGGCAATCGCGGTGCCACGAGGAGCCATGCTTCTGTAGCAACAACTGCGGAAGCAGCTCCAAGCCCCTCATATGCTGCTAGGATCTCTCTGTCGGTCGGGATGTAGTGGGCAGGGTAGAGAGCTGCTTGATCTTCTCTGTGTTCCCAGTGGCTACACCAAAAGCCCACCGGTACCCCTTTGGGTCCTCGAAGTACCCTCTCCTGAGGCAGCCTGTGCCAAGGATACAAGGGGCCTCTGGGCCGCTCACAATGGGGTGCTTTTGCCACTTGTCCCTTGTTAAGCTCAGCTCAGCCTCCAGCAGAGACAACTGTTGGCCTCCCGCATCACTCCAGAGATCCAGATGGGTTCTGTGCCCCAGTGCCCTGATGGCACCAGCATCCGCTGGTGCCTACCAAAGCCGCCTACTTCTGTGGGTCTGATGTGCTGGGCTGTGCTGGTTTGGGCGGGGACAGAGTTAATCTTCTCCATAGTAGCTTGTATGGGGCTGTCAAGGCCTTTTCTGCTCCTCACACCGCCCCAGCAGCGAGCAGGCTGGGGGTGCACAAGGAGTTGGGAGGGGACACAGCTGGCACAGCTGCCCGCAACTGACCAAAGGGATCCCTGACACGCTCGAGCAGTGGGCCCATGGGAACCTCATGAGGTTCAACAAGGCCAAGTGCAAGGTCCTGCACCTGGGCTGGGGCAATCCCCGGTATCAATACAGGCCGGGGGATGAAGGGATTGTGAGCAGCCCTGCAGAGAAGGACTTGGGGGAACTGGTTCTCTCAGGTACTGGCTGCCTTCATCTGCAGTAGTCCACTTCCCTGGGTAGGAGATCTACAGAAGTGAATTTGTACTTACAAGTGATTTTTTGGGGACTGACAAATAGGTGGGCCTACAGATCGCAACGTGGGTCAT